GAGTCATACCTTGTCAAGGGGTTCCTAAAAAGGGGAATTACTCGATTATTATATAGGGAAAGCAAATTACCAGGACGGAAGCGACGAACCAATATTCGATCTCCCTCGCTTGCGGTTTTTTGGTTCAGATGCTATGGTTACATCTGTGATAGAAAAATTAGGCAATGAGATGGGATTATTACTAATAAAACTTGTTAGTGGAGTGAAAATTCGAGATAGAGGTGGAAACCAGTAGAAATGAAAACAACTCGTTTAAAAATATCTTACCTAGAACCATATTGTAATAGGTTTTTGAATCTTCACCAATAACTGCGGCTCGTGCATTAGTCTCATTTGCGTATTGAATGAACGCATATCCTTTGTGTACTGATATTCCCACGACTGCTCCATATTTCGAGAAAATAGACTCAAGTTCTGTTTTTGTCATGTGCACTGTATTAAGATTTCCAACGAAAACACGCGACTTGAGACTGTTTGGATCCGTCCTATTAGTAATATTGCTTACGCCAATCATGGTCAACCAGTGTGAAGCACAATTGACAAAACAGCCGCCACTCTATATTCCCACCATCTGAGTACGGAGATAAAAAAAATATTTGAGTATTTTGAGAGAATAGTTCTTTAATGATTTCACACAGTATTTCGAGTAATTTTGCAGGCGGATTTACACTGATTTTTAACGGCATTTCAGGTTTTCATAATTTAGTCAGTTTTGTTAGTGAAAGATGCTCAATCTACATGTGATCAAGAAAACGGGATGGACACTACCAACACTAACATAATCGCATCCAATTTTTTGAAAGAAAATGTCATTAATTTTTTTAGTGGTGGATAAATACCTAATGTAAATTGTTCAGTATGTCTTTAGAATTGAGGCCGAAAGCACTCGATCACGCATGCACACTAGATCACGAGTGAGTAGGCCATGCTGCTTATATCCTGCAACCACTAACCATCCCAGATCGAACGATTTTCGGCATATCAGTAACTCTTCAAATATATCTCTGAACTCCTTCACTGGTGACTTCTGATTTGACTGAGTTTGTATCCTACGATTATGCAGGTGTTAATCGCAAAGGAGTTGTCAAACTTTGAATATTTCTGGCATCGTTATTCTGATATTCTTGGAATAAAAGTAGCCCATCGTATCATCAAAGATGAACTAAAGGCAGTTTAACAAAGCGTATACTTCCCAGTTATATTATTCACTGAAACTATACATTCGTATTTGTAGTTGATTGGTGTAAATCAGCCTGTAATTAAACAGACCAGTATGTCATTACTCATATAACTGGATGAAGTCGTTTTGAAGTATCACATAGGTACTAAAGATGCCACAGGTATTCGGAGTTTGACAACCAGTAAAATCTTTATATACGAAGTATATCAAGAAGAAGATATATTTAGAGAACTATTGGTATGTCGAGGAACGTTTGGTCTAAGCTGGCTAGTAGTTGAAAGAGATGCGTAGCAGGGCGTACTCAGTCGTGATGTGGTGCGAATTCGTGACCGAGAGCCTTCAATTTAGTGAGTCCAGTAAAACTAATGCGGTCAGCATCAAATGTTGAAGACTTGCAAAGTTATTATTTTTGAGGATTTATTTTCCAATATAGCACAGATAAGGCGAAATTATTAGCCCAAATTGCTTGCGAATATCAAACATAGAGATTTGGTTTTGTTGGGGTCCAATGGTTTCTAGACTCTTAAAATAAAGGTGATATAGAAAAGTGAAAAGATAGCTTGTCTAGTAAATACGGAAAACAATAAATTACTCTTTCGGTAATAGCTGGTCCTTAATTAGGAAGAAATAATACTGGGTCGTAACAAAAAATTTTTGATAATGGATGGTATCTAATTTTCACTGACCTTTTGGTTTTGATTACTTGAAACTGTTTGTATGGGTCTCCTGTGAAATCCTGATAAGACAATGGGACGTTTATCTGAAATAATGTGTTATATTTCTAACTTCTTGTCGCACATAGGCTTGTCATGGGTCTTTATATGAGTAATAATAAAGACTAGCTAAATAAATATTCAGATGGTCACAAATCGATAACCGTAAAAAAGGAGATGAAAATTAATTCACTACGAAAAGAATGGGAAGTTATGTGTTTGAGAATCAAGGTTATTCGACTGCCGCTACATATTTACATTCACAGCGGTCCTTCTGATTAGATTCCAAGGATCTCAAAGATGCCAATTGGAGAAGTCTGGTTGAACCGAATCCGTACCACTTATCATATTATAGTACTCAAAGCGACCCAGCTACAATCTTCAAACGAGTGAATAATGTTTTAACATATTAATATCTCTTGTCTTCAGAACAGAAACGTTATGAGTACTGTTATAACTTTCGGTTTTGCTTCGTCTAATATTATAACAGTTAAGTTTACACGTTTCCACGTATTAGACGTTAATTTACCTTAAACAATTATCTACACTAGATTCTCTCCCAGTGTCTATTCTACAAGACTTCAACACAACTCAGATCAAGAACACGTGATTAGCCTGACCACAATGTAAATATATTTCCACACCAAAAACCCGGCACAATCCAATAACAATGAGTCGTAATAATGATGAGGATAGGAGAATATATAACTCATCCGACACCTGTCAGACTACCTACATATCTGACTAAGCAGACAACCAATCATTATCATTCTCGCTAATACATCAAGTACATTCCGCAAAGTTGATAAGCTCAGAATGAATGTTATGTCAGTTGATTACCAGCCCTCCTATCTAGTGACCAACAAGTGGACTTCTTTGCCTTAGCAGGTGGCTGGATCTACTTATGCTGATACATTCCAACCAAGTTGTATCGGCTTATGTTACGCGGTGCCTAGTATAAAATGATGTATGGTAGTGAAATTGCTCATTGAATGCATGCAAATAGGCACTCAACTTGCTACTAACTATGAGACTTCCTTTGCAATCATTGATTCATACTCTTGACTCACTGGAAGTTGTAGTTTGTAACTGCGCAGAAAGAACTGCAATTCTGGTTCTCTGTTTTGGTTGCGAACCGTGTACATGATATATCGTACGATACCGCAAAAAGAAAAAAATATTTAAAATCCATTCCTTTTATCACTAACAAAGACATTTCAGTGTTCTGTATTCTTGACATTGATATCAAACTATTTTTTGTTCTCATATATTCGCAGTCGTAAACGTATGAAAGTATCTGGCTTAATGTCATCTGATCCTGACGTGTGGAATTATATTCAGGAAAACAGTGATCTTGTAACCTTACCTTTCTACATACTAAGGTTCTGAATCTACATCACTTGATGGGAAAAAGACTAGAATGTCTGTTAGAGCAAACACATTTGGCTGTGTCGTAGAAGTTCAAACGTCTAGAAACCTTGAGGCTCCTAATTGTGTCTACGGTTTCAAAAATCCTGAAATTATTGTCGTACAATTATTTAACAAGTTTTGAGAAAAACTCCTTTGTCTGAGATATTTATGATAATGTCCATGGATTAGTTATGAGGTTGTAGTTTATTCATTTTTTACTCATTTTCACTTCATCTAGTGTTTAGATCTATAATGCTTGTTTGAACCAGTTTGGAACTAAAAAAATTTTCACGACATTTTAATGTGTGAAGTTGCACCTATTCTAGCGTTTCCGCTTACGGTAGATAGAATAAAACTGCCAATAATTTTCCATAGTCCTAGCAGTCTGAAAACGCTAAATCACTGAATTGATCCTCATTTTCGAGAGCTGTGAGATGTGAGATGCGGGATTGTTGACCAGCTTAGGTAATTTCCTTTGGAGAGTCTTTGTCATGATGACGAATGTCCTTAATCGTTTAAGAAGTTCTGTTATCTCTGATTAAGCTCTATGTTTTTGTCCATTAAATAAGAAGATCTTGCTGAAATCTCCGTTAATCTTACCCTTTTTAGTCATTACCCAAACTCTGTGTTCTCTGTATACGATAGTTAAAATAATGCTAGGAATAACTAGACGGATGTGAACCATCCACAATGTAAGTAGACTCATCTGAGTTTCATACAGGTGGCCATGGTGGTTTACCGTTAGTTTTTTATGCGGATATATGAGGCATTCAGTATTTTTCACGTCATGAACCAGTGGACTTTCGTTCTTCATTGTGATAGTGAGAATAGCCTCAGGTGAAATAGCTGGTCCTCTTAGAGTTTGCCTCTTAATTTAGTAACTAACCTTTTTGCTTATCTGCACTGTATTAATGTTATAGGTTTTGAATGGGAAAATGCAGTAATTCCTAAAAGTTATCAAAATTAAATCGATAGTCTGTAAAACTAGTTGTCTTATAGAAAGCGATGTGTAGCTAAGGTCCGGACTGTCTCCTGGATAGTTACCACAGGTTTTCCGTTATCCTATTAGTAAATGGCTTACATAGACTTCTGTCGAGTGACTAGAAGGGCAATAACTTCAGAGAAACTGGAGAATCTTTTTGTTATCTCTTAGGAGCGAGGTGTCCAAAATAACATTGTTTGTTGTCCACGGAAGTCGAACATTAAATTTCTTCGTTCCATCTTTTTTCCTCAGTAGCAATGGGTTTCTGTGCACTCCTAATGAATATCTCCTAGTTTTGATTATAACTAAGAATTATTTTGGCAGTATAGATAATTGCCGGAGAACAGTAGTTTTCTTAATCTTCCAGTTAAGTCGTCCTAACTAAAGTGACAAATGAATCCTAATGATTTACCTTCCAAAACATTCGTTGAAACGAATTTTCATCTCACCGGTGTTATCAAGGATCGAACCGTTGAGACGCTTCAGTAAAGATCTCAAATTCTGCTAAAAAATCAGGGTCATTAATAGCCTCTTGTGTACCAGCTTGTGCAACAGTGATAATGATAATACGATTTATTTGATGAAATTATAATAAAACATTGGTCACACAAACAGGGGAAATTTGGTGTTTTAAGTTTTTCGTTAAGTTAGTTAAATTCTACATCTTACTGAATTTGTTTTAGTAGGCTACATGTGTAGCTTAGTGTAAATGGCACATATTCAAATCCCGGAAATGATGCTGCGATTGGTTTTATTTGTAATAATGACTTCGGCAGGTGTATGCCAAGTAGGTGGGGCATCTATCGTTAATTGTTTTTCTAATATAATGCATGGTATTAGGTATTGGACCAGAACTGCGTTGTTATCAATGTAATTCACTAACGCAACCTCACTGTGCAGACTATTTTGATAATCGAACTTTTCCACTAGTTGCCTGTCCAAATGATGGAAGAAATTATTCTAGGTGTGTTAAGATGATTCAGGAAAGTGAGTACACAAGTTTGGTTGCTTTCATTTTGTTTCACGTAAATTGGATTCGTATTCCGTAAATCAAGCGCTAGTTTAAGGGATTCTCCGAACAAATAAATTAAGCAGTGATTTTGTCAAAATTTCAGTAATTTTGCAGGGTATTATATGTCTTTTGTACAAAATGATGATAAAAATAGCGAATTTTGATGCGAAATTTATAAAATATTCAATGGGTTTTTACATACTTATTTTCCTTGAAAAAATATATAATTAGCTGTGTGATCAAAGATAACAATTCCTCAGACTATATTTATCCGTTTTGTGCTGCAACCTTTATCAGTCAACTTCATAATTTATTGCAAACAGTGTCTAATACTCAGCTAAAATACTGACAACCTTGAGTTAGCTTAAAACAACGTTGCTCAATGTTTTGAGAAATTTACCTTCATCGCTCAAAAGTTGACTGGTTAGAATGTCTGAAAGCATAAGTCTTTGCGTTAATGACTCACAGTATTCGGAATTGTATATAAGTTTTTTGCGACATTTTTGTCGCCTTAATCTAGATTTGTTATTGCTCCCTGGAATATCAAAACAATTCTGACGTATGTTCAAAATATAACGTGTTTACCAGCCTCAACCATATTAAAGTCATTTTGTTATATTAACACTGTTTCTAAGTATGTTGTTTCAACTACATTTACTCATCTAGTTCGAATTTTTAACAAATAAGCAATCAATTAGCAGATAGTTTTAGGCTATTTTTAGGAAAAAACATGGTTTGAAACATCAGCAGTTTAGGCTAATTTTCCTTAAAAATATTTAATTCAGGTTCATTGTATGAGCTTTGTAGTAATTCACTAGTACGATATATTTAAGCAGAACAATTTGTTTTATTACTGATTTTGCATAGGCAAATTATTACCTCTATTTTTCAATCGAATCTTTACTAACATACTGATTTTGTTCTAACTTTCAATGTTACTCAAAATTGCGAAACTATGATTACAACCATAAAGGGTTCCAGCCATTGGTAAGCTTGAGATGGGTTCCGGTAATCGCGTTCAGCTTAGCTCAATAGTTGCCATAGATATACAACATTGGTCTCACGGGAACTCATTGACCACTTACACTTTTTTAGTTACGATTGCCATTAGTTCCGTGATATATACTTTAGTTACTTAGGACAACATTGACTCAGATGTGAATTTATGAAGCAAGTCGATAAAATGTTAGGAAACGTTTCTTTGCTACTAAGAGATTCGCGGTTTTGTCAGAACCCTTCAACATAAAATATCTAAAATAGTTGTTTCGGAGGTGTAAGCTCATACAATGCATAAAAGGAACCAACTAATTGAGTTCATAATATTCATGTGAGCTTTAAGCTCACCGTGTTGGGACAATAATAATTCAGTAGCAATTAAATAAATATGTAAACAACACTACCCTATTGGGTCGTGTACCATAGTTTTTATGTGCCTTAGACCTTATGTTTATGGTAGCTATATCATCTTTCGAATAGGAGCTAGTCAATATACTGCAAATACCAATATAATGTTAGGCATTCGTCCCTCTTAACGACAACTATGAGTGTAGTTTATACCCTTCGACTCAGTTTAATGTTTTTATGGGCTTTGATTCAATATATTAGGCATTTTTGTGACGGTCTTGTGAGTTTCTTGTGCCGAACACAGTTCGTATCTTACAAAAAAAGTTCACATCAAAGACGGATAAAGGATAATGCATTAGTGAGGCAGAAGCCACATATATTTACTGTATACTTATTATTATTTATATGTCACAAATATAAAATGATTCATAGGATAGTGGACAAAACTGCTATAGGGGTGATAGATTGATGGATCGCAAAAATGACTAAAATCACTCCAAGCCTCTTGTCATTAGTCTGTCTATTGTGTCTGCAACTACGTATAATTTTTCGTTTTAGCAATAGACTAGTCATCTTTATATTGTTATAAGTTAACAAAACGCTCATATATTTCGATGCTAAGAAAGAAAAGGGAAACCATAGATAAGTGATTATTATGCATCAAAAACAGATCTAAACTATACTTGAACAAACAAAGTTTAATATGATTTATTTGCACTGACCGTCATTCAAATATGAATGGTTCGAAGTAAGCAACACTCAACATTTAAAAAATTGACGACCTAATATACAACCACATTCTACAATAGCATAAGATTAAATTTACATAGCAAAAAATGTAAATAGTGCACTGAGATATATGACTATTTCTCTGTACTACAGACTCAATTAAAGTGGTTCTTTTTGATAGACCAGTTTTCGTAAAATTACATTCATAGATGTATTGTAAGAGTACACTCCAGAAAGATCTCCAGTCGTTCGTTTCCGCTGAGAATTCTATATTATATAAAAAATATAATGTTGAATAAAGTCAATAAAGTATTGGGGAAAATAATCAGTTTTATTGTAGTGAAGGATTTCCTTGTAGTTTAATAAACCAGTATCAAGCGCCCGTATGTCTTAATGAATATGAGTATTTGCGAACTCTATAACAACTACCCTAGTGTGTTTCCCTGTCATCAAATACCTGATAAATAAGGACGTTCGAAGCACTAGCGTTTTAAAAAAGTGAGTTGACTCGTCAGTACTTCATAACAAGAATTGATTGCTTTCAATTTTCTAATACTACAAGTAGGGTACTAGTTAAGTAAGAAGCTTATATATGATCAGTGTTCTGTCTTAGAGTATTATTGCTAGGAAATTGAGTCATTAAATTATGTTTGTATATGACATATCACAATTTACTTTCAGTGTTAGAAGTTTACTCACTATTTCACTAGTATTTGCTGGATTGCATCATTAACATTAATTATTTGTTCGTAAACCACAGACTTTGCATCCATTACAGGTTGTGATGTGTGGAAATGTAGTTCTACATCATAGATATCTCTCAGTGCCTTAATGACAATACAGGTATCTATTTATCCTTTGCTTTTCCAACTTTCAAGATTTGGTGAGGAATCGATTCAAAGCACCCCGGCAGCCTCACACATATGTGCTGATTAAAATCGCCATAGCATATCGGAAGAGAGAGATAGAAGTATTAACAGTATCAGTAATAGTAGAAATATTAAGTATGGAAAAAATTACTCTAGAAGAAAGAATGATACTACGGGATAAAAGGTATGGGTATGTTAAGAAAAAACAGAGTTGGTGTGCACCACTGAGACCGATTGAGAGCCATTTAACTCACTGTTATCAAGAAATAGGCCAAAATAACCTAGCGCACCTCAACTACGTAGTTTGTACTCACTTACACAGCTCAGCCCGACAGTCAGTAATTTTATAGACTGATGCCGTGTGTTGATTCTGATTTTTCAAACCCACTCTCACATCAGGAAACATCACACACTGAGACAAAACGTGGTTGGAGACACATAAAGCATGTCTAAACTACCTCAGTTGATAAATATTCACTACCTTATCAATCGATTTGTAATTTTTACTTAATATATTGAGTCTTCCCTCAGTATCACTTCATTAATATCTAGATAATACTTCAATTGTTCATATAAAAAATTCCTACCCATTTATTTATACAGTGTATCTAGATGGAAAGTGGACTAGACGTTATTATAGAGATTGTGCTGTAACCGGTGTGATTGGTGCAGAAGATGGTCGATGGTGTATAGATCGTTTGGGTACATATCGTGTTAAAGTTCGATATTGTAATTGTAACAATAAAAATGGATGTAATTCAAGTACACTATTAACTGTTTCAACAACACTTTATATTTTTATGTTTACTATATTTATATTATACATTTATCGAATTCTTAAACTATAGGCATTTAGAATACAAGAAGATGTTCAATTTCTTCTATTTTCTTTTTTAATATGTTTATGAAAACAAAATTATGTAATTGCAACGAATAACTTTTTTAAAAAAGATCAAATAATAAATAGGCCATATTGAAATATGAATATAAACTTCCATTTTCATTGTCTATCAAGAGAAATAAGAAAGAGACCAATCACTGGAAAGTAACTAACTGGAAGGTCATTTACTTCATTATCATTCATTTATTCATTTTTATGCATGATTAAATTATGTATATGTGGCTTCTTTGTTTTTTCATTCTTGTAAACATTGCTGGAATATTATTATTTTTTCAGGATAACTGTATAAACCACATTTTCTGTATTTTAAATTTATCTGCTTACTCACTGTTGATAGAAAAAAAGTGTATATAAACAATGATCATTAATATGAACTGTAAAAAGCATTTTGTCTTTTTATAATCAACAGTAGTAACACACTGAAGACAATCGTGGATGTGTTGCTCAATTTCGTGGATTAGTTGAAGTTGGACATTAACACCATTGGATGCCGGTCGGATCAGTGGTCTAATGGTTAAGCGCTCGCGTGCGACGCTTATAGGTCCTGGGTTTGAACCTCACTAGGCAGGATCTTAGATGTGCACTGTTGAGGAGTCCCACAATAGGATGAAATGGCTGTCCAGTACTTCCAAGTTTTCCATGGTAGTCTAGTTTCAATTGACTCATGATCTGATTAAAGTTTTAAGTCCCAAATTGACATGATCCAATTCATCAGATGGTATGAGACGTTATACTGATGTGTAAATTCTACTTCACAAGACTGGACCAGATAAAATGATAAAGACTTTGCAGAACTACTTGCTACTACAAAACATTGCTACTGAGACAAGTTTAAACTGATTACTTATTGGTCGAGTGTCAAGTTAAGAATACTGAGCCGTAGATAAATCATATAATTGTGTGTAGAATATCTCATAGATTAATGAAAGTTTAGAGTTCATAAATACAGTAGCAAAATATCTGTGTTTCATCGCTACTCATTAGCGTCGACAAGCATGATGCAAAACATAAGGGCTGCTCGATAAATGCCTCAAATTATTGAGAAACTAATTCTACTCGTTTTCAAAATTAATGCGACTTAGTCAACTAGGCAAGTGTAGGAAAGACAATCTAATCAGCTCTAGGTTATGAGTTGATCGTTAATAAATATGGATGAGAAACACAGTGAATAATAGTCAATAGGGAAGGGATGGTTGTTCGACATATTTAATAAACCGATTACATTCATAAAAAGCTAACGATTTTTCTACACGATATAAACTACTCACAAACTAGTAAGTAGCATCGTAAATTTCTACAAAAACCTTTCGATAGTTATCAGTAGTTTTTCAGTGAATTGATTCAATCATTGTAAAAAATCCTTTGGGTGAGAGAACTAGGAAAAGGATTAATTAGGAATACAAAGCATTTGGAGATTTAATGTCACTCATTAACTTTACCTCTTGCTTATAAAAAATTATCTAGGTATAATAAGTGAACATAAAACCAATATGTAACAATTGGATTAGTTGAAGTTAGACATTAACACCGTTGGATGCCGGCCGGATCAGTGGTCTAGTGGTTAAGTGCTCGCGCGCGAAACCAGTAGGTCCTGGGTTCCAATCTTGCAGGGGGTGAGGTCATGGAAGCACACTGCTGAGGAGTCCCACAATAGGATGAAATGGCCGTCCAGTGCTTTCAGGTTTTCCATGGTGGTCTAGCTTCAACTGACTTATGATCTTAACCATTCAAATTGGTTATCTGTCAGTTGACAGTTTATTTATAAACATTAAGGTAAGTTTATAATAGGAGTTTTAAAACTGTAAACAATCTGTTACTAGGTAAAATCAGTAACTTCAATAGTTGAAATCATGTGACCACTATGGAACCTTGCAAATTACTCAGATATTGTGTTTAATTGGTTCCATCTGGATAGTAGATTTGTAATTATTTAACTATATAGTTAGTGGAGAAAAGTTTAAATTTTAGTGATAAACAAATGAAAACATCTAATACAACCTTAAAATATGGGTGAACAGTTATAAACTTATTGTTATCGTTACTATACTGTGATATAAACAATGAAGTCACAAAACAACATTGATGCAAGACTAATAATCTTGTCAAGTAGTCTTTTCAACTTGGGAAAGCCTTTAGGCAGCTATTAGTTCTCTCTTGGTTATATATTTCAGTATTCTGAGTGGTAGAGGTCATGCAGAATGTTTTAAATACCAGAAGTGTATATCTAAAAATCTAAGTTGTATCGAAAATATAAACAACCACTGTATCCCTATTTACTTAATAGAGATAAATTTTAAGCTATATATACTACTAACTGACCATAAGGACTTTACTGTATAGGTTTTCTGTGTACAGACATTTTCTCTACACCCTTAATATCAAATAACGTTATTATTTCTAGAAATAAACACTTTTCATAACATTGTTTACGAAGGATCTGGTTCATTCGGATTGGTTTTATCAAGGAATGAATGAATTTCGATCAGGTATAAAAAAATAGAAACTGTGATGAGAACGTTATTCAATGATTTTCAACTAAAGCTATTTTATAAATTTCATTAGTCTTATTTCATTGATCAAATAAAGGTTAAAATCAATTTAATTTCAGCTACTTATGAGTAGTCAGAAATGCTTTCAGGACTTTTTAAATCAATCTTCACTAAATTACCGTATATTTTAGAAGTGATGTAGTTCGGATTTACCAAGAATTTATTAGCAATTTAGAAATATATACTACATAGAACCGCATCAAGTATTGTGAATTCGGCCATTTATATTTATTCACTGAACATAAAGGTTACTTCATAATAACTGACTGTACTGAAATTTTTCAATAAAAAAATTATTTTGGAATCCGATGCGTATTGTCCTACTTAAATTGCATCATAATTAGTTATTTGCTAATTACACTTGGAAGATGTTTCATCTGAAAACTCTGTAACTATAAGAAAGATAGGATTCCAAAAAAGATGGATTACGAATATATAGTCTTTATGTGATATCTGTTGAGAAAGCATTATGATTATGAAGAGTTTTAATAACCTAACAAGATAACTACGTATCGAAAAGAATCAACCACCCTGTGAGTGAGTTCATATTTTAAACATAATTCCCGCTACTATTTAAAGAGTCAAATTTTGTTAAGCATTTTATTTAACTTAGAAACTAATTACAACATATTGTGAAACAGATTATTGGCTTCTATTCACGGATGTATTCCTATAGTCAGCGATAGGGCTTAAAAAACAGTGGTTTTTGCTTGATAGTTAATAAAATCTAATTTACTAGTTTTAAGCGGACAACTTATTCAATGTCTCGATGAAGGAGCTAAATAAAAAAGTTACCAAATGATATTTGTTTATTATTATTATCATCATCATCACTAGTAATACCGCAGGTTCTTTTAGAGTTTTCCTATTAAATAGATGTAGTTAGCATATTAAATCAAATCAGTGGCCTGCTTGATTATCTGGTCTACCTGTTTCTGACATCTAAATATTTCAAAAAGTTATGTTTTTTTAAAAATTTTGTTTCAACACATTATGTCTACTAATCGCATAACCTATACAGGCACGTTTATGAAATGCTTATGACCTTTCGCTGCAAAAGTTACAAAAAAGTACAATAAGAGACATCGTTATCGTTGGCATTATGCAATATGTCAATTCCTGAACTGTTAAATTCTAACTGCCGATCATTAATTACCAAGGTGAACTATCTTCAGTTCCTATTAAGTCACGAATATTAGTTAACTAATTTACAGGACGATTGCTTAGTATCACTACGTGATTTCAATATTAATAATAATAGTTACTTGAGAATCAGTACAAGTACACCTAGATACAACCAATTACTACAAGGAATGTTTTCAAAACAACAACAACAGCAATTTGTTTTAATACCTAATAAATTATTATTCAAATAAACAAAAAAATGCAACTTTTAAATTTATTCAACATTGTGTTGTAATTCTATCAAATCACAGACTGACTTAATGGCTTAAATGATTACATCATGTTTGAATGCATGCATATATATGCTGTTCCATTGTTAAACAAGAAAACATGAGGTTATGCTTTAAAATTGAGTTTATAATCATTTACACAGGTTGAATGAATTTCTATGTTGGTTTAACCAGTGAAATTCAAATAATGTACCATTATTCACTTCATTATTTAATGCTATTTTTAATTTTCATATCAATCCATTTTGATCGGTATCATTACACCAATTACTTTAGCTTATTCAGAATTCGATTAGAGAAAAGTTTCTGTTATGAAGAATATTTATTTCTATCAACAGATTTGTAGTATCGTTTTCTAGTACTAGTTTTGTTCTTGGCCAGTACTCACCTTTTAGGTATTAAATGCTAAGAAGGATTCAGTAGACATTTCTAACATTTACTTAGTTTAATTCACTTGATATTGTTTTACTTGAATCTTCCCATTGATGTTTTAGGACTGAAATTGATCAGTCTCTTATTAGCATATGTGCATACTGTGCGTATGCCTCGATATTGCCTTAATTTACAAGCATTATAAGCAAAGATGCTTGTAATTTAAGGCAATATCGAGGCATACGCACAGTATGCACATATGCCAATAAGAGACTGATCAATTTCAGTCCTAAAACATCAATGGGAAGATTCAAGTAAAACAATATCAAGTGAATTAAACTTCACCCCATTGCACAAGCAAGTGGCTATCAGGACTCAGTAGCTGAGTGGATAACGCAATGGCGTTTGAAGCGAATGGTACTGGGTTCGAGTCCAAGGGTGAACATCAACTCTGAGATGCAGGTGCATCCAGCCGATGGGTCCCAAATAGGACGAAACACGCTTCCTGGATTCCACTGCTAGCCACTATCTATCTTTGTTTACTTAGTTTGTAATCGGTAAGCAGCTAAAAGACTACGTTGTTTACTACTTAGAATTTATATTTCATTGTAAGATGTTTAAAAGTTAAAATTGGGAATGATTGATGATCTTAATTTCATTTTGTGTTTGATTTCAATGAAATGATAAACAAATAATGACTTTTAGTTGTTAACAATTCGCATTGCTGAGGAGTCTCGTCCTAGGACGAAACGACTATCCAGGTTTTCAGTTGTAATTTAACATTGATTCCAATATTTTGTGGGATTTTGAAAAAAATTTTCATAGTAGATGCTCATTGTTATTTGGTTTTCGATGTTTTGTCAAATTACATCAGTTATTAGTGAAAATTAATCCAAAAAAGTTTTTGTTTATCTTTGAACATTTTTCAGAAGTACTTGCGGTTATCAGAATTCAAAATTCATTTAAGTTCCTTCATCACTTGTAGTGATCAGGTCGTCTTACAATTCTGAAGAATTTATTCACAAGTCGAGGTAGTAAGAAATTATTTTA